TGACGTGGCGATGACGTGGCGATGACGTGGCGATGACGTGGCGTGCTAGCTGGTCTTCTTCTCCGGCGAGGTTGCTGCCGGACTGGAGTACTGCAGCGGCTATGACTGGCAGGAGAGAGAAACTTTGACCGGACGTTTGGAGGCCTTCCGGTGGTCAAAAAATTCCGAAAAATATATTTTTGGAATCCTCAGAACGAGAGCTTTCTAATGGTGGCCTCAAAACAAGATTCTGGAACAAAAAAATTTTGACCAAAAATTCGGGCAGAATGAAGAAATCTGGGTTTCTGGATTAAACTGGCTCTGATACCACTTGTTAGGATTGGAAAATTCTTCTATTCATAACCAGAACAGAATTACAATAGGAGGAGCAACTCTCTCACTCAACTATTACAAAAAATCAACCCTCTTATACACTCACACTCTATGTATATTGCTCTCACTCTTTCACTCCGAATTTTGATACATTTGATCAAGCTAGAACCACCCTATTTATAGGGAAATGCTGGGAGACAATTGCATGCAGCCCATATAGCATCCCATGCCTTCCCATGCCTTCCCATGCCTTCCCATACCTTTTAATTGATGGAGGATGGAGCTTCATGCCATGGAGTGGGTGTGTGTATGGGAGCTGCAGCAATCCTACACCGCCGTCCGGCCTCCTCCTTTTGGGGGCCTTCCCGGTGGTATTTTTTGCTCAAATTTTTTGTGTATGTTCCTCATCAAGTCTAGTTCATCCATACCAAATTTCAGCAACAAATTCAATCGGGAAGGTCGTCAAATGATTTTTGCAAGTTAACTGGTCCGGAATACACATATTCCCGAATGAATTTGTTGCTGAAATTTGGTATGGATGAACTAGACTTGATGAGGAACATACACAAAAAAATTTGAGCAAAAAATACCACCGGGAAGGCCCCCAGAAGGAGGAGGCCGGACGGCGGCTCCGGTCAGGTATACCTGACCGGAAGATTACTCTGATAACATTTCGAATCAAATTAAGTATTCTCATTTGTATTTGTATTTGAATTTTTCGAATCCGAATCATCTTATACAAATTCGAATCACGAATCGAACATAGATTATTTGACCTTTTTATGTAAGTTCGAGGGCCTATTTGACCCCTTTCCCGTTTAAATATGTGGTTGTCTTTAGTAAAAAAAGAGAATTTATCACAAATAGACTAAAAAGTGAAAATAATATCACTTTTGTCACCTTACAATTTTTTTTTTTTTCAAAAATAGACTAGCTTAATATTTTCTTTCAAAATTAGACCAAACCCTCTAACGGCCTATTGGAAGCTCTACGGCTCTACTATTCATACGGTAACTAACTACATAAATAACTAACAATGTAAAGATCTACTCACTTATTGATAAAGTAAAAAAAATTGAATGAAATGGGTTTTTAAACAAAATTGTGTAGTTCATGAAAAATGAAAAGATAATTATTATTATTATTATTATTATTAAGCACACAAGAAAAGTCTAGCAACTAAAATTAAATCTAAAAACACAAGAAAAAAATTAAAGTGCACAATAAAAAGTGTAAGATTGAAAACTTCTAAATTAAAATTTAAAAATTTAGATTAAAAAAATTAGAAAAGTGTAAAAGTAAATGTATCAACATTTTTATAAATAAAATAATTTGAAAAAATTCAAAAAAGTTTTAAAATAGTCGGAGAATTAAAAAGTTTTAATACTTCCAAAATAATTTTCTTGTAAAATTAATAAAAAATGGAAAACACGTAGTATTTAAATAAAATTGTACAAAAAATTCTCAAAAATTAGAAAACGGTGTAAATTATTATTTTTAATATAAAATCTTTGAAAATTATTATAAAAATGTATATAATCTATTTTTTGGAATTATTGAAAAATAAAAAAAATAACAACTTTTTAATAATCAATAAATTAGTAAAATTCTAGAATGTAAAATTTTAAAAATAACTACAGCTTTCAACATTGTAAACTTGTTTAGGAAAATATAAAATATTTTATTGAAAATTAAAATGTCAAAAATTAAAAATAAATAAAATATAAATAAATTTTTAAAATTTAAAAAGTAAAAAAATATGGATTTTGTGAATCGGTAATACGAAGTATTTTTTCACAAAATTAATTATTATCACAAGGGCATATTTTGTTGTTGCCAGTTGTTTTATTATGTTTATTTTTGTTGACAAATTCAAAAATTTTGTTCTTTTGTTGATTAAATGTGTTTCTCGTTATTGATTTAATAATTGCAAATGTAGCATATACGCGTATATAGAAATACACACGCACTCACACATACTGTTTTCCGTTTTGAAGAAGGACAAATAAACAATAACAACAAAACCAAGAAATAAAAATGATCGACAAATAGCAACACTATACAACACAAAACAACATCATACAACAAAAAAAAGAAAGATAAATATAGAAACATAAAGAAACAATAAGCAACAAAAATAGATACTACTGATATGCAACAACACATTAAGAATTAGAGCTTAACTATTTGTCATTTACTATTTATCTTGCCAACGAATTCTAGAATACATGATAAGCTCATTGACTTGTAAGTGCCTTTGACTGCCTTTGACTAAACAAATATACAACACAATTCTTGTACATTTCATCCTCTTGAACCTTGAACAAAGTATATCTTTCATGCCAGCAAAATGAACTCTTATTTGGCTGAATCAAGTTCTAAGAAACTCGTTCATTTTGCAGCATTATCACATTTATGTTGCTTATAACATAGTTTGTCTTAATTATCCATACTCATGTCAAACCAAAAACTCATTTTACCTCATCTTTCACATTTGTAACTATGAAGCACTTTCCGCATTCTGATTTTGAAGAACATTTAGGATCTTCTATATCTTCCCCAATGCACTACATGTCAATAGGAAAAAAATTGTACTACAATAGTAAGAGGCACACTCATATGAACATTATATATAAAACGAGCATAAAAACATCCAAAATGTATGACTGAACTAAAGTGGCGGGATTAAAGTGTGCAACAATTGATATGCTTAACAAGAGTGTAAAGTAAGAATAATATTTGTTTTATGTTTTTTAGTTTTTTAGTCATATGTTCTAAATATAAAGCATAGCCAAAAAGTTGGGCATCATATTTGTGAAGGGGTAAGAAGTGGCCGGCTGAATGCATCTGGCTATCATCATAATCAAAATTAGAAGCATCCCCTACTATTCCTATTAGTCCAAGCTTCAGTGGGGAATTATAGATGTTATATACTAAGGTCTATAACAACCCTTAAAATCATTTGGCTATTCTAGTTAAACATCAAACTCTATCCATGATCTGTTTGTGCCTTCCATCTTCAGAGGTACTATCTGATCCACTTGAAGACATTACTAAGCATGGTAAGCTAGGAAGTTAAGCATGCTTAGCAACATCATACAACAAAAAGAAACAAAAAGAAACATAAATATAGAAACATAAAGAAACAATAAGCAACAAAAACAAATATTACTATTATGTAGCAACACATTAAGAATTAGAGCTTAAATATTCATCATTTCCTATTATAGATGTTATATAGTAAAGCAAATAACAACCCTAAAATCATTTGGCCATTCCATTTAAACATCACACACTATCTATGATCTGTTTGTGCCTTCCATCTTCAGAGGTACTAACTGATCCACTTGAACACGTTACTAAGCATGGTAAGCTAGGAAGTTTTCTTTTAGAACCACAAACTCAAAACCTTAAAACAATTAAGCTAGGAACAATGTTAGTTTCATGTACTTATAAATTTTCACCGACTGGAGTAAACAATATGTAGGAACAATCAAAATTGTAAGACTCAGGGGACATACAAGTTTAGTCAATAGCTTATGATGAAGAGCAGATACGATCAGCCCTCTTTGAATATTAGAAGCAACAAAACATTCCAGGATCGCTCAACTAGCAAGGATTTTTCTAAGAAGAGATCATGTAAGTGTGATAAGTAACATGATATCATCGCAGGAAGAGAATTTCATAGATAAGTGGAAAAGTGTTCTGGTGGATTGCTCTACTACTAGCTTAAATGCTTGTGCAATTTGATCTTAAATAATCTTGAGGCTGCGTGTTAATATCCGTACACTAAAGGATATTGATGAACTGGTATGTAAATTGATTTTAAAACTTACTAATACTGTAAGCACAATCTTCAGTACACCATATTTTATCAAAACAAGTACGTGGTAAAAAATTAAGGAGTTTAACTGTAAAGTTTTCTTAGAATCCAAACTAATTCAAAGAAATTTTAATGAGTGCCAGCTTTGAGATAATTTCTATAAGAGAGCAAATTCAAAACATCTAGATAGCTAATGAACTTCTTAAATTAAAATCGAGATGAGAATCCTGTTACCTAGGGTTTTGATCCTTGAATCTCCCCAAACTAAAATCGGTCTCATTCCAATGCATCCATATGTCATGTGTAATCGATTGATATACGGACAATGATCGGTCGATACTTTGCGATGACTTTTCAGGATAATAGAAGAGATTTCATCGGCGAAGCTAATCTCATCGATGACTAGAGGAAGAAAATCAGACGAGTTCCAGTGCAGCACCGCCGAGAGCGAGATAGAGGATGGAGAGATCCATAATATCACAATCCCTCCTCCATCTCATCTCCATCGTAAAATCAACGAACCCAACTTTTCATTTTGTGGGAACGTAGGGATTTGGGTTTAGATTTAATGGATAGGTTATTTTTGAAATAAAAAGTTTAAAAGTGAAAAGTGAAAAGTTTAAAGATGATAAGAAAATAACGTGGTGACATAAATGAAATGTGTTAACGAAAAGTGGCTTGAACGGGATATTTCCACTAAAAAACAGGCTCCATTTAGAATCACCTCAATTGAATCAGTAATACAGTTCTAGCCCAATATGAAATAATCTAGCCCACCTTTGCTGGTCCAAGACTAAGCTAAATATCCAGCCCAAATATGGATATTTACATATTTATCCTCAAGTCTGTACACTTCAATGACTTCATCCATGCTCCAAAAAGTCTGTACACTTCATCCAAACAGTACTCTAATCCACCGGAGTATTTTCGGCCTCAAAAAGTTGGAGTCCTAATCATAAACCAACCATGCTCTGAACTTGATGAAGGCAGTCTCTATAGCTCTGGCTTGTATGATAATCAAAGATTCCGAGAAAGAGAGAAATGGCATACTACCTTTGCACTGCACCAGCTTTTTTCTATCCAGAATTCCAGCAATTCTGCAACTCTCTCCATTGTAGCCACTTTCTGCAACTCCCTGTCCAACAGAAGCCCTCACCTCTATCCCTCAGGATCCGCAGAACCACGCCCTTCCAGATTTCTCAAGTCTCCATTCAAAACGATGCCCAGGCATTGAGGGGTCCCTCGAAAAGCCACGTTTGGATCAATCCAGATAGTCCCAGGGCTTCTAAGCTAAAAGAGGATTCTTATGATTTCAAGCTCTCGTCACTGATGAGCATTTCGAACTCCTTGGATTCCTGCAACGCCGTCGAAGAAGATGTGATGGCTATACTTGCTGCCTTGAGTGACAAAGCAGTACAACAACATCACGCTGTATATATTCTTAACAATATGTCAAACCCTGACACTGCGCTTCTGGCATTGAATTACTTCCGGAGAAGGTTTAAATTGACTAATCAGGTTATTTTGTATAATGTAACTCTGAAGGTGCTAAGGAAAAACAAATATTTGAGTGAAGCGGAGAAACTGTTCGATGAAATGCTTGAGAGAGGAGTTAAGCCAGATAATGTTACATTCTCCACTATTATTAGCTGCGCTAGGTTCTGCTCCTTGCCGGAAAAGGCTGTGGAGTGGTTTGAAAAGATGCCAGCTTTTGGGTGTCAACCAGATGATATAACTTACGCAACTATGATTGATTCTTATGGAAGGTCTGGGAATCTGGATAAGGCATTGAACTTGTATGACTGTGCAAGAGAAAAGAAAATGCATTTTGATGCCAAGACATTCTGCTCATTGATCAGGGTTTATATTGCTTCTGGGAACTACGATGGGTGCTTGAATGTGTATGAAGAAATGAAGGGACTTGGCATTAAGCCTGACATGGCTGTGTATAACCACTTGTTGCATGCCATGGGAAGAGCTAAGAGGCCATGGAAGGCCAAAGATATCTACATTGATATGATACAAAATAGATTTCAGCCAAACTGGGCCACATATGCGGCACTGATTCAAGCATATTGTAGGGCTCGTTATGGCGAGGATTCTCTTAATGTGTATATGGAAATGAAGGAAAAAGGTATGGCATTGAATACTGTTCTATATAACACACTGCTTGCAATGTGTGCCGATTTGGGATTAATAGATGAAGCACTTGAAATTTATAATGACATGAAGGGTTGTAAAACATCCAAGCCAGACCGTTGGACATTTTCATCTCTGGTCACAGTATATTCTTGCAGTGGGAACTTCTTAGAAGCAGAGGCGGTTATGGATGAAATGACAAAAGAAGGATTGGAGCCAGATATTTTTGTCCTAACATCACTAGTTCGATGTTATGGAAACGCTGATCGTTTTGATGATGTTGTAAGGACTTTTAATCATCTTTTAGATTTAGGTTTAACACCAGATGAACGGTTTTGTGGTTGTCTTCTCAATGTCTTGAAACAGACACCTAGGAGGAAAATGCATAAATTGACTGCATGCCTTGAGAAGGCCATGCCTAAGCTTGGTTACATTGTGAAACTCCTACTAGATGGAAAGAATGCCAATGGCACTATTTTTAAGAAGGAAGCCAATGAACTCTTTCATTACATTAGCACTGGTGTGAGAAAGGCTTTCTGCAACTCCTTAATTGATATTTGTGTGAGCCTTAATCAACTTGAAAAAGCCTGTGAGTTGTTAGACCTGGGAATAAAATTTGGAGTCTACAACGACATACAATCTAAAGAATCTACTTGCTGGTATTTAAATCTCAAGAGTCTGTCATGTGGGGCAGCACTAACTGCTCTGCATGTCTGGATGAAGGACATGAACAGAGACATTAGAAATGGTGTAGAACTTCCATCATTGCTTGGGATCAATACGGGGCATGGAAAACACAAGTACTCTAACAATGCTTTGGCAGATGTACTTGAGTCTCATTTACAGGGACTAAATGCTCCATTTCACAGAGATCCTCAACAGCTTGGCTGGTTTTCTACGACAAAAGTCGCAGCTACATTGTGGTTGGAATCTAGAGAGCCTGAGAAAGATATCGCTTTTCCAAATTTAGTTATTGATCCAGCATAATATTAGGTATATGCTTTTATTTTATTTAAATTTATTTTATTTTATATTATTTTATTTTATGATTCTTAAGTCATGTGTGAACAGTCATTACTTTCTTTCTATCCAACTGTTAGCTAATTTTTTTTCTTTGGTCTCAGAGTAAACTTATGGCAGTTCTAAATCTATCTTTAAAGTGATACTCCACCCGTCCCATTTGAAGGTTCCCATTCCAAAATGGTACAATTTTATGAGGCAATGGTTATGAACAGATGATAATAGTGTTGTTATGGGTGTATTAATTTTGATATGTGATGATAGAATTGTACTCCCTCCGTCCCGAAAAGGTTCGCCAACTTTGACTTTCACGTGAATTAATAAAGTAAAAAACGTTTGGTTGAAATTTGTGTAGAGGAGAGAGAATTAACTTTAGCTACATATTCCTTACTTTAAATGGAAATGACAAATCTTTTTGGGACATCCAAAAAAGGAAATTTGGCAAACCTTTTCGGGACGGAGGGAGTATTTAAAATGGAATGAGAACCTTGATTTGAACGTCGAGATGGAGTACTACTTCATATAGGGAAGTAAGCATGTGAGTCCGTCCTTAACAGTCTGAGTCGGGAAAGAATTAGGGAAACTGTTGATTCTATATTCTCCACTTTCTTTAGCATTTGAATTTATACTAAGTATAATAGAATGTGCCTAAATTCTACATATGCGCTGGCAGGACAGGATCGACAAATTGGCAATGGCAGCATTTCAAAAACTTGCATTCATGTAGCATGGGAATAGATAGCTAATGGAATGCACTTGTATACTTTGTAGTTTGTGTTTATCAGGATATCTCAGAAAAACTTCATGTTTGTGGTCTTGTGGAGCCCTCTTATTCATCTATTTCTATCAGCAGTAGGACAGAAATAGATGTAATTTGATTGTGAGGTGCTTGTGGCATGCTAATTGATGGGGCAAACCACCACAACCGCGCAATGTAATATGGCTATTGGCTTGAAATCATGTTCAGCCGGCCTCAGTTCAATTTTCTGACCCACCTGTTTGCTCCCATGGTAGAGAGATCAGGCGCCAAAGTGTGTCCTGGACATGTATAGTGACAAGATCCAAACTTAGGACTACAAATACCCTTCACATACTCAGGCTCGAACCGGACTGAGCAAAATGGTGGACCAGGTCCCGGTTAAGAAAATCTATCAATAACTATGATGAAGTCAAATTTATCATGGAGTTGTTTTCATATATTTCTGGTTCTATATTTGCCAAGTCTGCAATCACCAGATAAATTATGATGTTTAGTTATAAGAGAGAGCACTTGTTTTGGAATAAAGATGTTTTAATTGGATTATAATTTTGAGGGAATTCCCTAAATAGGAGTTAAAACTTTTTGAAATTCCAAAATAAGAGTATCATGTTTTTTATTCCCTAAATGGGAGTAAATTTCTGCCAAGTTTGGCATTACAAGGCTTTAAACATGGCATTTTCCCCAAACTTGGCAGATTACTCTTATTCAGGAAATAAAAAGTATGATACTCCTATTTTTGAATTTCAAAACATTTTTACTCCTATTTAGGGCAATTTCTGTATAATTTTCTATTCTGGTCTGATTTGTTCAAGTTTAATTTGAACAAGCTTGGTAGATGTTAATTCTATTGTATTTTACATTTGTTCAAGTCTGGTCTAATCTGATCTATTCATGTCTGGTTTCAATGGTTTGATTTAAGACTAAAATCAGTTCAATTAAAAACATCTAAGCAAAAGTGAATAGAGTGTATTATTGTGATTTTTAGGTTATAAGAGATAATATGTCACTTGTTTTCCCCTAATTTAATACTAATTAAAATATAATCTTCTTTTTTTATATAGCCCATGTGTACAATAATATCTAAGCCTTAATTTTCAAAATATTTTGGGATCAACTAATATGAATCGATTCATGATATCGGAGCCAAAAAGAGAAGAAAGATAAAAATAAAAATTAAAAAATAAAGTAAGATAAAATGAAAAAAATTCTTTACCTAATACAGATTACGGGGTATGTGTAGTGGAAAAAAAATCTAAAGATAAAAGGAAACAAGGTTCTACAGCTGAGTTTTTCTAGAATAATGCTAAACAAAAAATTAATTACAAAAATATGATCGAGTTAAGAGTATTTCCCAAATGGTGATGAAAGAACTCTAGTTAATGTCCCTTAGAATTAATATATTACTTGTTCATTTTAATATTAATAATGCATAATAAAACAGAATAATAAGTAAAGCAATATTTATTATTTTGTCAATTAGCATTAATATTTTATTGCTCATAGATACTTTGTTAGGTTTAATACAACAGAATTGTATAGAGAATTCGTTTCAAATAAAAGACAAGATGTTTGTGAATTTTAAAATAGGATTCTTGTATTCTTGTATTTTTGTTCTTCAGATATGAGTAAGGATGTTCTTACTTGGACTGAAATTTGTTTGTCTGAGACTAAAAACAATCCCAGTAAAAACATCCTAATTAATGTCATATTTTGAAATTACTAGATATTACTTAAATGGAAAAGGTACTTATGGTTGAACCCATTTTCAAAACGGTCTTGTATTTCATTTCTAACAAAGTAGGTCATGTGTTTCAATTTCGCTTATCACAAGTGGGGTTTGACGCTAACACCGTTAGAAATCATCGGAGGGAGACGATGAATAGCAACGTACTCCAATTTTAAAAATGTTGGGAGGTATGTCTCGTCAAGAGACCTCCAATCCATCTTCCTCTAGATTTTTCGAATCCGTTTGGATTATTAAAAAAAATCACTAATATCTTATTTATGGTGGACTTTCTGTCGACAAAGGTGATTGGAAACAAAAAAGAAAAAGATGTCATGTAGGTCGCTTTGATGAGGTGCACTTCATAGTATTTTTTTTCAAACACTTTTGAAAATTGAAGTTACAGTTCATCGTATTCCTCCAACGATTTCCAACGGCGTTAGAAACCAGACCCCTCATTTGATAACGGAAATGAAACACATGACTTACTTTGTTAAAAATTGAAACACATGACCTTATCTGAAAACTAATACAACCATAAGTACTTTTTTCGTATCTATCTCTTAATTAAACATATCAATTTTTTCAAATTTAATAATAATTACTCTTATTTATAAAATAAAAAAATTGTACTTATATTTTAAAATTTCAAAGATTTTTTTACACATATTTCGAGAATTTTCCTAATTGTATACTTCCTTATTATAAAGAAAACCTGATCATTTATTTAAGAAAGTTAAAAGAAAACATTCTTTGGTTAATATGCTTTCCAATTAAGAAAAAAAACATTAATAACTCTTTAAAATATGATGAATTAAAATATTACTTAATAGCTATTACTATTAGAGCATCTCCAGCGGTCAATCAATTACCTTCGTAGCTTGACTAGGCACATAAACATTTGCAGCAAAAGTAAAATTTACTTCAATGGTGAGCTATGTCATCTTCCTCTTCATTTGATATTAATAATGTTATATTTAATAATTTATTTGCTCAAGCTAGTAGTTCATTTCGGCTAATTAGCTTTCTCAAGCAAAAGGTTTAGCAATGCTCCAATGGTAAGCTATTAGCTTTAAAATTGCAAGCAAGTCCTCAAGAGGAACTATTGGAGATGCTCTTAGTATTGTAAAGGTCTTAAAGTTTGCATCTTACTAATTATATGTAACTACTTTGTAAACTTTAAACACGATTCAAAAAGAAAGAATTTTAAACAAGATTGTAATCACAAATAATTAATACTCCGTAAGTAATATTTTTATTGATTTTTATTCCTAATATTTAGGAAAATACCCCTCAATTAAAAAAAGGGTTTAATACACCAAACCCCCTCGTGATATAGAAATTCAGCGCATTATCCCTTGTGATTTGAAAAATGTGTCAAACTCCCTTGTGTTTTAATTAATCATGCACAAAACCTCTTTTATAAATAAATTTAACGATTTGGAAATCACTTTTCCTAATATTTTGATTGAATATGCAAATAAATATGTCAAAATCTATAAATGATATAAAAATGTTAATCATTTTTCTTTTATTTGATAAGTAAATGTATTCATGAAAGGGGTTCTGTGCATGATTAATTAAAACACATTTTGGTGTGGGCCAATGCATGTTTTGTACGGAGGGATTGAAGGAAAAACCCCTTCAATTAAAACAAAATCAATACGAGAGATTAGGCGACCAAAACAAGATAGCTTTGGAGATAACAATTTTGCCAACAAAAATGAAACTGTCCATACTCAATTTCCACTGAATTGGTTATTTGGGTTCCAGGATCGAAGTATTTGATTCAACTGGAGCACTGGGCAACTAAAGTTTCTATTTTGTACCAGCTAAATTTCACCTCGTTCCCATATTTCATTATCTCTTGCATCTTTCTTACCGTACTATTTGAACTTGTTGCTAGTTGGTTATTGTTAAATGTTAAATTTCATTCCTTTAACCCTTCGGTTCCTTTTTTTTGTGCTTCTGATTTTGGTTTTAACCTTAATCTTATTGTTGCTTCCTTCAGATTACTTGAGGACAGTTCATGGCATCAAGATCAGACAATTCAATTAAGCCCCGAGGTTTTGAATTTATTTTGATGAATCTTTTGCCCACTTCACGTTAATTTTCTTGCTCCTGTCCAATATGGACTATACACATAGTAGTTTATTTGTTTTGAAGTATTTTAACTTTGTTTGCTTATTTACTACTAGTAATTCATTAGTTTATTTGCTTTTCATTTCACTCACTGGAAAAAGAAAGGGGTAATTTGAGTTTGCACTCCATTTTATGGTCCAAATTGGACTTTACACTCCGTTTTTAAAATCTTTGTATTTGCACCCCAACCCCGTATGAAAAGACAAAAAAGTTCCTCCATTAAGAATCCCAACCCCGTATGAAAAGACAAAAATTCCCCTCCATTAACAATTCTGTAGGCCTTCAACATATTCCTGATCGAGGGGCATTTTTGTCTTCTCATACAGGGTTGGGGCTGCAAATACATAGATTGCTGCAAATACACAGATTTTTAAAAACGGGGTGCAAACTCCAATTTGGACAATAAAATGGGTTGCAAACTCAAATTACCCCAAAAAGAATACTTCTTATTAGTTCTTAGATATATTTAACACTTCCCTCGGTCACCCGGGTTGGATAACTTGAGGTGAATAATTGAGTCAAACCAACCCCAATAGGCTACCCCAACCAATTAGTGCAAAACAAACTAACAAATACCATCAAACCAAACTCTTAAATATATCGTTCCATCTTAAAATATTAACCCTATAGGAGGAGCAATTTAAGATTTTATGTTGATTTACTATTTTATATTTAACTGAAATGTTTCAAACGTTCTAGTTGTTAAATTCCAGATGTATGCATTGTTGGTGTTGCTCGAACACCAATGGGTGGCTTGCTTGGTACAATCTCATCTTTATCCGCGACAAAGCTTGGTTCTATAGCTATTAAGAGTAAGATTGTAGGATCCATGCTTAGTCTTCTTTGTTCTTTAATAGCCATTCTCTAAGCCTTTAATGTTAGTTCAAATAACCACATTGTCCTAGGTGCTCTTGAGAGGGCAAGCGTTGATCCCTTACAAGTTCAAGAGGTATTCTTTGGAAATGTTCTCAGTGCAAATTTAGGACAAGCCCCTGCTAGGCAGGCTGCTTTAGGTGCTGGGATACCTGATTCTGCTGTTTGCACAACCATTAACAAAGTGTGTTCATCAGGATTAAAGGGTTTGTTTTTTGCAAAAACATATTGGTATCTTTATTTTCTGGTACCTGTTTTGTCCTAACATGATATTATTTATCTCAGCAATAATGATTGCTGCCCTTAGTATTACATCCGGTCTCAATGATGTTGTGGTGGCTGGTGGCATGGAAAGCATGTCTAATGCGCCAAAATATTTAGTTCAGTCCAGGTTATGTCCCGATCAATCATTTTATTCCCTGCTAGCTACTTAATCTCTATACATGTAGATGCATAAAAACCTCTGCACTGTAGTAACACTAATGCAGGAAATGAGTAAATATAGGAAATGGAAAGAACAGTTGTTTTCGTACTTATAATATAATAAAACTTTGTGTTGAGCCGATTGGGTACACAATAGGGTAAATCAATTAATATATATTCATACAACCTGCAACCGGTGCATATTTTGAACTCGATTGTTTTTTCTATTCAGAAGAAGGCTGGTACAAACTTGCAATTTCTTCTAATAATGCAGTTTAATCTTACAGATTAATGATTTCATATGGGTTTTACTTGTTCCAGATGAAAAGGCTACCTCTGAGTCTATTTTAAATTACAGCCCTTAATCTGTATCAGACAAAAATGTTATACTTTCTTTAAAAAAAATCATGGGTCATATATCAGTATATTGCATTTTTTAAGTATCCTCAAAGCAACAACGTCTCTACTCCTAGGGGCAGAGGTAAGGTCTGCTCACAGCCTCACATCTCACCCTCTATGACCCTACCTAGGAGTGAGACTTATTGTTTTGTTTTTGGTTTCGTTTGGTTTGGCTTTTAGTTTTTGCATTGAAGAAAACCAATTTTGAATCCATTTTTCTTTCCAAAACAGAAGAGGATTGAGGTTAGGACATGAATCTGTCATTGACGGAATGATCAAGGATGGACTATGGGACGTTTACAATGATTTTGGGATGGGACTGTGTGCTGAACTGTGTGCTGATCAGTATCATTTCACAAGGGAAGAGCAGGTACTTTTTTCCTGCCTTCATCATCTCCCGAGAATATTTTTTCTATGTTTACTTTTTCTCTGAATTCATAGAGCTCATGAGTTAAATTTGATGGTTTCCTTCTGAGGGAGCATACGAACAAACAAATTTTAGTGAAGAACTGAAGACTAAAACACTTCAAAATAAGACAATATTTCGTTTTGATTGCTTCTTCTGTTGAGAGGCGGTAAGTCTCCAAGTTGTTGGGAAGACAAAATTGAATCTTGTTTGGTTCTCCTGCAAGTTTAAAGAATTTTGAATGGTCCTGCTATGATGCAAGACCATACTTGAACATTCCTTGAGCAGTAGAAAACCAATGACACAAAACCAAAATATATAGCTGGCCAAGTGGCCACAATAATAAACTTACCAGTTACCCAAGAGTAGTGTTGTCAAGAATATGGGTTTCCAGTAAAACTCCTGGTTTCATTTTGGATTTATTCTGCAGGATGCTTATGCTATTCAAAGCTTTGAGCGAGGACTTGCTGCACAAAGCAGTGGTGCCTTTGCATGGGAAATAGTTCCGGTGAGACCCCAAGCTTGTTATGTTATATGGGTGTTTTATTGTTTTATTTAATTTTTTTCTACAACAATTATATTAGCTTTTTCACTCTTAACAATTTGAGCTATACAATGCAGGTTAAAATTCCTGGTGTTAGTGGGAAGCCATCTATAATTGTTAACAAAGATGATGGCTTAAGGCAGGTATATAAATAGATGTTATATCTTGACAGGTTCAGTTAAAATGGAGTGATTTCTTTCTTAAATCTTGACAGGTTCAGTTAAAATGGGGCGTCTGATTCTTTTTCTTTCCAAATCAACTTTATTTTGTCTGTTATCTATATATTTCCTTCATTCATGCTTTTGTAAGCATCATACATTTCTCTGTTGACTGAGATTATTACCTTCTTTTTTGAAGAAATCTTTTGTAAGTAAGGACAAGTACCAATTGCTTTGAAGATATTGTGTTAAAATTTATGAAACTGATCTTGTTCGAATGATAAATTGAACTTTAGATTCTTAGAATGAAGTTTAAAGACCTCACTGCAACGTCCCAAAAAAGATTAAAAGAAGTTAATAATTCCTTTTAAGAGTGAATGACTCATATTTTCTTGAAAAGACAGTGGTGGTAGTATTTGAAAAAATATGTTACTACCTCTGTCCCACTAGAAGGTTCCCATAGCAAAGCGGCACGGTTATTTAGGTGATAATTAAATAAAGTACTTCGCGTATATTTTGAGAAATAATTTTAATAGGTATATATTATAATGTGTTAGTATTGATAACTGTGATGTTATAAATGTATTATTTTTAATATTTAATGACTAATTTGTCACTTAAGTTTGTTAATTGTTTCCTAAAATGGAAATGGGAACCTTCTAATGGGACGTCCAAAAAAGGAAAGTGGGAACCTTCTAACGGGACGGAGAGAGTATGTTTTAGTTCCCTATTTATTAGATTTTCCAGTTATTATATCCATATTGATGTTTCTGCTTCACTTTCCTCTTACAAGTTTGATGCCTCTAAACTGAGAAAGCTTAGACCCAGTTTTAGAGAAGGAGGTACTGTTACTGCAGGCAATGCTTCTATAATAAGGTTCTCTCACTCACTCTGCACATATTGTCAGGTTCTCTTTTCCCAATATAATGATAGTGATGCTTATTCATCATCAATAATAGTGATGGAGCTGCTGCTGTGGTTCTGGTTAGCGGGAAAAAGGTGCTTGATCTTGGGTTGCGAGTAATTGCCAAGATCAGAGGATATGCAGATGCTGCTCAGGTTCTATACGATCTTTATTTATTTGTAAATACATACCTGATTATGAAGCCTCCTATTATACTGCACCTAACAATATCAAACTGGGACAGGCACCTGAGTTGTTTCCGACTGCTCCAGCACTTGCAATACCAAAAGCAATTAAAAATTCTGGTCTGAAGGCCTCTGATGTCGATTACTATGAGATAAATGAGGCATTCTCTGTATGGATCAACTTCTGAGTAATAAATGGTGTACATTATACATATTGAGGGCGTGTGTATTCCTGTTTCATGTTTTGCCATTCAACATTCTTTTTTATGTCTTATAATTTATTCTTTGGAGAACATGTTTACGAAAGCATATTTTCCAATGTCATGATGGTGGTAAATATGTAAACATGAAAGCTGGAAAACATTCTCCTGAGAGCTAGTGGACACGAAGTAATAACATATTTTGTTTTACGGATTCTACACTTGGAGAACGAGTGAAGAAAATATATCTCCCGTTTTCCAGTTTTTCTCAGAAATCTAAACCTTTTGCAGTTTTTCAGATTTGAACGTTGCACTATGCACTTAATAACCTTTTTATATTCCCATTGTTGCAGGTTGTAGCCCTTGCCAACCAAAGACTGCTCAATATTGATGTTGTGAGTTCAAGAGTGGCCTAAAGTCTTTGCCTCTTTTAGCATCTTCAAATTAAAAGATTTTCTACGTTAAGAATGATTGTTCTAGCTTTGATCCGTCCTTGCTCTGTTCTGTATTCAGGATAAACTGAACGTGCATGGAGGAGCCGTGTCTTTGGGACATCCATTGGGGTGCAGTGGGGCTAGGATCTTGGTCACTTTGCTAGGGGTATGTATCAGTGTCGGTAGTAGTAGACTAATAGTCAGTCATAATAATCACAACAAGAATAATAATAACAACATCAACAACCGCAACAATAATAATGATGGTAATACTAATACTAATAATAATGGTAATTATAATGATGGTGAATGACGATGATGTTAAAATTGGCAACAATGATTATAGTAGTAATAGTAATACTCCCTATTATTTATAATAGTAAGGATAGTAAATTAGTAATATTTGTGTATACAACCAACTCAAGTGAACTCCTCTTACTTCCCAAAATAAATTTAAGTCTTAATACAAGTTGCAGGAACAAGTGCATGTGAAAATAGTCACATTATAAATTTAGAGCTCAAAACATCAATAGCGGCACACCACACACAGAATAACATGTGTTAAACACTTCTAATCGCAGGTGCTGAGGGAAAAGAATGGAATAGTTGGGGTTGCTGGAGTCTGCAATGGAGGAGGAGGAGCTTCTGCCCTAGTTGTTGAGATCATGTAAGCTTTTTGCGATTTTACCCATCTGTTCGTTTCTTCATAATTGGCTCTGTTTTTTATTCAGTGTCAAAGTTTATTTAGATGATTTCTCTTGAAACACGGTTGTAAATTGAATGAAAAGAACTTGTCAATGAAGGAGAGTCACTAAGTATTGAACACTCTGTTCTAAAAATCGTTCTAGACGTCCGACTAGTCCCCACATAGGCACTAGGCGGTGGCCGGACGCTCCGATTTTCGTCTTGGTGAATTAGTCGGCCGCCTATTTGCCCGCCTAGAGCGCCTAATCGGCCGTCTAGGCCGTCTAGATTCGCCAAACATTACTTTATTTTTTTAATTTAAATTTTCTAAGCGATATACGTACTTTAGCTTTAGCTATGGATATAATGAAATGAAGTTGTAAATTAAGATATGTTTCTATATATACCTAAATTTCATCATTATTTATATTTATAACATAATGAAGTTAAGTGATTAGTTATCATATACTACGTATGATTAAATGTGATAATTCTATCATTCATGTTTGTTAATGTATATGTATATATGTAGTTTATACACACAAAAATACGATATTATTTATCATATTTATGCAAAAATATAGATAAAAATGTAATTTCTTTGTCTCCGACTAGTCCCCGACTAGCCTAGCCGCCTAGGCTGGGCTAGCGCCTAGCGCCTTTTAGAACATTGATTGAACATAGTTCGAAATGTCAATAAGCTTCAATGTGTTTTGCTCATTGTAGGCCTGAAGCAAAGATGACACGACCCAAGCTGTAGAAACTCGAAGTCATGCCTATGCTACAAACATACATGGCTTACTGTTCATCTTTTCCTATGTTTTGTTCACCTCAAATATAATAAAAGGTACTCGGTTGGTGTTTTTGGGTTGATGGTTGAAATATGAATGAATAAGGTGAAAGGGTTTGCATATTCATTTCCTTCACATTCATCTCACTTTGGCTTGATTTGTACTTGAGATGACTTAGTAGCAAGTCTATTCTACTTGGACTATATTTGGGTTCGAGAAAATGTTAGGGAAATGAGAGTTATAGAAGTGGATTTTATGCTATACGTAAATGAGTATAACCTTAAAATGAAATGAGCAATATAATGGTCCGATATCATAAAATGAACGCAACAAAAATGTTAGATGAGCATAAAATAATGAATATTAATGAATGATTAAGTTGGTTTTGATAAATGCATTATATTTATAGAAACGAGTTTGATGTTATAATAAAACTCAATGCATTCTAATTGGATGATTAATAAATCTTTTATAAAATAGTTAGTCTACGTTTCCGAAAATAGCACATAGACTTATATGCTAAATTTATCTACGCATGTACGTAAAATAATCATTTAGCCCAAAACTCACCAAATCATAGGAGTAGGACTATAGGAGAAAAGTCATACTTGGCATTATTAATACAGGCATACAGCCAAGTCGTCCCCTTCTTGTCCACGCACGGGCTAGTGAAAAAGTTACCAACAATAGGGAAAAACATCGCTCAAGGTAAAATCTTATCCTTCAACTATGAAACAGCCAGCAGCTAGCATTCCAAACAAAAACTCTTTGGCTATTGTAATCATGAATGTTTTAACATTATACAAAGCATAATAATGTTCATCATTATTGAACTTCTTAAATTCTTCTTGTTCATTTATAAACAAACACTCTTTTTGAGTTTTTGGTAATAATTATAAAAAGAATCTCTAGCATAATTAATAAATAATGTCTCATATATGACCACACAAATATAATTTGTACGTAAACCGTCATTTTTTTTCATTTTCATTTACCCCAGTGCCGCAAAGGCTCCCACCTACGGTGGGGTAGGGGGGGGGGGTTGGATGTACGCAGTCTTAACTCTGTACTAAAGCACATGGAGACTGTTTCCGGATGACCCATAGTGAAAATCGCGTCCAAAATTGCATGGGCTGACTGCTACTTCATAACAAAGAAGCGCAGACAGTTTAGTGAGCCATTTTGATTTATTCCATCATATTCTCAAGCAAAAAAATAATGAATCTTTGGCTCCATTGCAAATGATAGAAAAATTTAATCGCAAATGATGAATCTTTGTACGTAAACCGTGATCTAATAAATTTAATGCCTATGACTGCGTCCAAACAATATCAAACTTTACATTGCAGTGACTACTTATAGTAACTTTACTCATTTTTTGTCCATAAATATTATTTTAATAATATTATAGGAAAAATAAATGTAAGATGAACATTGCGATTGAATTTCTGTATGTATGTTCCAACTTGAAAAAACATACTCCCTCCGTCCCAGGGAGAAGTTCCCACTTTCCTTTTTTGGTAGTCCCAACAAAAAGTTCTCATTTCCCTAAATGGAAAGTTATCCTACATCAAAACAGTGTCAAACAGTGCAAAACAGTGCCAAACAGTGCCAAACAGTGTCGAAACAGTGCCAAACAGTAAAATTTACCCCTCAGTAACTTTATTTCCTAAATATGTGTGAAAGTCAACCCGGGAACTTCTCTCTGGGATGGAGGGAGTAATAACTTTCATGTTTTTTTATTGTCTTCTTTTTGTTGAATATACAATATTTTTTCCAAATTTTTAAATAATTTCTGTTTCAACATTTAATGCGTATAATGGCCATTTCTCTCCTTCAAACTTCAATGTACATATATTTGCATCTAAACATCAAGTTTTCTTTGATAAGTAAACTTCACTATTAAAATAATAAAACGGACTTTTATTATACTTTGTATTTTATAATGGCTAATTCGAATTGTATAATTAACATACATATGAGTCTGTATGATAACACTGAAATTGGCTGAATTGACTAATTCTGATGAAATTTATGAAGTTTTGGCTGAAGTGACTAGAATGATTAATTTTGCTGAATTATGAAAAATTATATTTAAGATATATTTTATTAATAAATAGAGAAAAAGTAATATGAAAAGAGAGCTTAAATGATTCTATAAAGTAATTTCACCCTGAAAATTAACTCTGTGCTTATTTATTTTAATTATGAGATAATCCAGTGTGCAAAATAAAAAAATTACATTTGTTTTTGAAAGAATTGACCAATACGACTATAAATAAAAAAACAATGCCACAGAAGAGACTCACCTAAAAATGAGAGAAGTCATTCAATTGACTAATACGACTATCGTGAAAAATTAAAATGTCACTTGGAAAGTCGTAATTTATGGTCTAAATTTATCCTCTTGGCCGGGTCACCCCATTGTCTCATAATATCCAAACCTCATTTAAAAACACTTGTCAGTCGGATTCAGCACCAATTATCTCGGAGCTTTAGAGCTTAGCATCCTTAATTCATTAATTAATTTCCAAGCTAATTAAGTCGTCGTCAGACATACATATAAATGGGAAGCGAAGCAGAAGGGACGCGATCGTCGCCGGCCGTGGCCCGCGCCGGCAGCGGCGAGGATCTGTTCGAGATCACGGCGGTGGAGGATATGAGCGCGACGAAGTCAACGGAGGAGACGGACGACGACTACGACTGCCGGAGCAGCTTGTTTTCGTACGACTTCCTGAGCGACTGCAACCGGTGCGTCGCCGGCACGTACGTGGTCGTGCGGAGTGAGCCGAAAAGTGAGGTGGACGCCAGCATGGACGCCCTGCTGTGGGCCCTCGCCAATGCCGTGCACCCTCTGGCGTCTTCCATGGTGTTTCTGGTTCACATATTCCCCGAGACCAAGTTCGTCCCTTCTCCATGTAAGTCATTAATGAATTACTCCAGGCTGTAAGATCTAGCTGCTACCTCTTCACTTTAATTATTCAGTTCATCATTACTCCATCTTTTATACGCCGCGTTCCAATTTTGCGTTGAAAACGTCAATTTGAAGATTTAAAGGTAGAACAATCCCGTTTTCTAACGTCAACTGGTTGTTTAAATTTATGAAGTTTTGGTTGAAATGATTAGATTGATTGATTCTGCAAAAATATATTTAAAATACCTTTTATTAATAAATTAAAGAAAATTTTACGAAGTATGAAAACATAGCTAATATAATCCTTCACAGTAACTTCACTCAATATAATCAGAAAAATAACTTTAACCTTAACTTTTCTTATTATTATACAATTCAGCCCGCAAAATCAAAAGTTACGTGTTTGGTGAAAAAGTTGGATGATAAACTCGATAATCCGAAAAGCAAGGTAACCAAACGGGTACTTAAATTGGTCGAGTAATCTGAATTTGTTGATATTGATGAATATGTATATGAATCTATTATGGGGGTGTTTGGATCTGATTCTCAAAACTGATTCTACTCCTTCAGGGAGCAAAAACAGAAGCTGGAATGTTTGGGTGAAATTTCAGAAGCACTTCTGGAGCTCTAATTTACTCTTAGAATCAGTTTTTTTAGAAGCTGGGAGGTACCAACTTCTGAAAACTAATTCTGATTCTGCTTCTACTTTTAAAAAAGAAGCAGAAGCAGAATCAGTTCCAAACACCCCTATGTGATGAAATAATAGCTATAGTGATCATTTAAAATAACTTAAGCTAGAAAAAATATAAAAAAATAACTTAAGCTAGAAAAATAACTTTGATTCTATTTATTTTGTTTACTAATAAGAATTGTCAAAATCAAATGTTACTTATTAATGGAAAATAGGAATTGTCAAGCGGGCTAGAATACTTGGATACTTGAAAAATAAATATAGTATTAAATGAAACATTCTACTAATAAGAATTTCTAATTCTAGGTATAACAACCTTGAATTTTCTAAAATAAAATGTACTTCCTCCGTTCTTTTTTAATTGTAACACTCAACATTTCACGTTTGTCAACGCACAAGTTTGACCATTAATATCTTTCATTCCTTATTAGTAAAAAATTTAAAAAAATCATATTTTGAAAATTTAGAATGAGAAGAATTTAACAATATTTTTTACAAATTTAATTTATAATGCATTAATTAATAAAATATAGTCAAAGTAGAATATGTGAATAGTGGAAAAAATCCAATGTTGCAATTAAAAGAGAACGGAGATAGTATATATGTACGTACATGCGTACGTACGGCGCTTAATTTATGTAGAATGGTTAGGAAACATAAAAGATAAAGTTGAAACAAATCTATCATTGACTTTATGATATTAGAAATTAAAAAAGAAAAAAAAACTCCTTACGTATGACTGTATGAGAGAACATAATTAAAGAGAATGAATGTTCTCTGTAATTTAGAGTTGTATCAATATAATTACAAATTGTGCTCAATTGTTCCAAAAGAAAGGTAAGGTTTATTCGCTTATATCTAATTAAATTTGGGTGACAACTCCGGTACCCTTCTAAAAAATGGGGTACCGTGCCTACCATTCATTTGATTGGACCACATCACTTTATTATTTTTAATTTAGATTTAAATAATTCAACTGCTACATTTCCATTGGTCCATGTGGACAAAGGTATGGTACCTTATGGGTACCATAGAATCTACCTTAAATTTGTTCCAATTTGACCATTTAATTTCCGAAAAATGCTAAATGTACCCCAATTGGTACCCCAATTTGTACCCCCACCCTATTTTTGTGGCTCACAAAAGCACATCATTAAAATGGGGCAATTCATTTATTGAGGTAGGCTTTTGTGAGCCACAAAAATTGGTTGAGCTACAAATTGGGGGTACCAATTGAGGTACCTATAGGAGGGTTGTTAATTTCCCGGCTCCATTCTCTCAAGTATATCTAAATTCCTCATTTCTGGGATGCGGTTTGGATACATGATTTTGTACTGAGGTTTTTGCTAATTAATGACATAAAAGGACATGATATGGTTCAGCTTCTGCCAACATTCCAACAACACTATATGGAAATGCTTCATTATATTTCGTACATTAATACATTATATTTAATTATCTTACTATACATTGTATATAGTATGACAATGATGGAAACAACATAATAAGTTAGAGAGACTCCAAAGTAAAAAAAACATATCACATAAGTATATATATCAACATATGTATTAGTGTATGTATGAGGATTTTACTACAAGTGTATGTATTAGTGTAGGAAGGTCTTTAGAGTTCCCTATTATTGTTGGAGTACGCGCACCTATGTCCGGCTCTGCGTC